TAACGTGCATTCTGGTTTACAAATTCTAAGATTTTTAATGAGGACCTAAAAGCTCTTTGGAGAAGGAAAGGAGGGAAGATTAATTACTGAAATAATGATGTCATAAAATTCAAAGAGTAATACTTAGTATATTTCTAAGAATAATTAGTGCTTCCCCAATGAAAGAAATGTGAAAGAAATGACATAACTGTAGAAATTTAAAAGGAGCATAATAAAAAACATACAAGGAAACAGTAGAATGATGGATAAAGAGTTAGTATCATAAAGCACAAAGTGCTTATAAAGTCAGTATGTGATGGGGTCAGGCAAGTGATGTAATGGGTGAGTTGCGCACATGCAGTAGACTTGGGTGAGTAGGAATTTTGTTGGACTCAGGAGCACAAACCCTTTGGAAGGAAGCAGCTGCTACTCAGCTGTGTCTTATAAAGGATTAAGGATTATGGGCCTGGTATTTCTAGATCTGATTTTTGTTTTCAAGAGTAGCCAGAAATTCAGATTTTAATATGAAATCTGCTAATCTTTGTAAGTTGACTTTTTTTTTAAAGCACCATGTGAACCAAACAATATATCTGAGAGCTAGATTTGGCCCACACATTGCCAGATTGTTACCTATCTTATACAACTGGAGAAGACCGCCAAGATCCCAAAAGTAAAATCAGCCAGCGGCGTAAATATACCAGTGTCCCCAAGAACTATTAATATAACTACAAAATAGGAAGAATTTCAGTCTTGCTGGTAATTAAAGAAGTGTAAATTAAAATAAAATATTATTTTATACCTCTCAAACTAGAAAACGATAAAGCAGTATAGTCCGAGTTACAGGGTAGCAGGTGTAATTATTTATTTTAAATTTATAATACTGTTGTGTAGGTGAGCAACTACAGTCACCATCAACTGTGAATATTAATGTGGATAATTTTGAAATAGATGGAAATAATTGCTACATTAGGGTAATAGTATAAATGAAACTAGTATAAGTAAATAAAAACAATGTTTGCCAGTTTAAACGGTATGTAATAATTGAAAACTAGACTATTCAAGGACTACTTGTAAAAATTGAAGGACCTTTAAAATGCATTTGCTTTTTCTTTGACTTTAGAAATTATCATTGTATGCATTTCTTTTTTTTTTTTTTTGAGATGGAGGTTCGCTCCTTACCCAGGCTGGAGTGCAATGGCGCGATCTCGGCTCACTGCAACCTCCGCCTCCTGGGTTCAGGCAATTCTCCTGCCTCAGCCTCCTGAGTAGCTGGGATTACAGGCACGCACCACCATGCCCAGCTAATTTTTTGTAATTTTTAGTAGAGACGGGGTTTCACCATGTTGACCAGGATGGTCTCGATCTGTTGACCTCGTGATCCGCCAGCCTCGGCCTCCCAAAGTGCTCGGATTACAGGCTTGAGCCACCACGCCCGGCCTGTATGCATTTCTTTATGCCTTTACAACTAGTGTTATTCATTCCCAGCTTTCCTTTTTCAGCTTTCTTGGTGAAGTTTAAATGTCATTACCTTGACTTCTGGGATGTTTGGAAATAGGCATATTTCCAAATATTGTATTATTTCTGCTCTTTAGCACATTTCATTCTTTTGATCTAGTCTGTTGTTTGATAGACTCTGGAAAGCAGAATAATGAGAATAATGCTTAACTACCTTTTTTCTTTTTTGCTTCTTGTTTGTTAAATTAATCTTTGTTAAGAGATTTCTGACATCATCAGCATCACATCATATGTTTCCTTTTAGCGGCATCTGGAGGTAGCAGAAATAGCAGCAGCCCACTGGCAGTAGTGTCTGTGAAGTCTCCGAATCAGAGTCTCCGTCTTGGCTTGTCCAGATTAGCACGAGTTAAACCTTTGCATCCGAATGCCACTAGCAGCTGAGTGTGGTACCAGAGGAATGTTTGGTTGAGAGAATTGCAGCTTTACAAGGGTGTTTATATTTAATTTGTGTTTATATTTGAGGCAGGTATTGTCATATAAAGGAATCCATTACCATGTCCTATAAATGATCTCTAGCTATTTTAAGTTTATGTTCTCTGTAAAGCTCTTCAAGCCTTCAGTGAGTTTTGTTTATAAGAACTGTCTTCTCATGCCTTTCCTTGTGAAGAGCATATTCTATTTTTCTATCAGTTCTACATGAAGGAAGTCCACATCACATGCTGTTCTTTTCTAGTTACATGATGTGCCTTTCTGGCTTTAGCTAGTTTATAGCACCTTAACTGTTCAGTTTTATGTGGCAGAGGAAACATTCTTATTTTTCAGAAGACATTTCTGAAATCTTATATGCTACTGAAGCTACCTTGTCAGTTTTATTGCAAAGTTTTTTGTATTTAGCCAAATCTTTTTATAGTATGAATTTGGAAATATTTTACACACTAAAATGGTTGTGGTTTTATGGCATGCATCTCCTATGTAGATGGTTATTCTATAGCAAATAGAATTTAAAGACATTTTATTAAATCTTCATTGTCAAAACCTTTAATAAAAGTGGATATATTTTGAAATGCTCTTTTTCTTGATGCCACTGCATCCACCTGTTCCTGATTGTCCACATTTCATGATAAAATGAGAGCTCTGCAGAGAATGTTACCCTTTTTGTTGTAAATATGAACAAGGGAAAGCTGTTTCTTCAAGTAGTTACTTTTTGTTAAGTTCTTTAGAAAGCAGTTGTCAAGCACTTAGTCATCCCTATTGTGATATTAGATAATACAGCTTTTCAGGAAGCTTAGATTTGAATTTATGTTAAAAAACAATTTATGTTGAAAAACAATATTTCATATTCATGGTGAAAATTTCAACTAGCTTCTGATCAATTTTTAATAAAAAATTTCAAATCATGTTAACTTAAAAAATATATAATACTTAACTCAGTTTTTCTTGGTTTATTGAAATGTCCATGTTAATGTGAAAACAATTAATTTAGAATTGTGATTAAAGTGAGCATTTGTCTACCGCTATTGTATACTTTTTTCTTATCTAGTGTATATTTTTATAGTATCATATACCAGCCCCCTAACCTGCCCCACCTGTCTCCTTTTTAGAAACATAATTTCCAGTTATGTAGCACTGAGGTTCTCTATTTGGTACAGATCAACAATAAACAAGAGCCTACTCTGTAGTAGGTACTGATATATTGAGTACCTAATACAGAGTATAGGTATATAATTGATTAATCATCTGGCACTAGCTTAATGACCTGTTTTGCTATGTTATTCATATTTATAGTTTATTTTTTTGAGGGGGGTGTTGAAAATTGCCTGATTTTAAAGTACGTTAAAATCAGCCTGGCTGAAGGCACTGATACCTTCAAGTTGCCAAACCCCATCTTACACACCCTGTGCATTAATTATACTCTGATGAAAACATTTCATTTCCTTGGCTCACATGAGACATTTCTTTGTCAATTTCTTCCCATCTCCATGCCTACTCTTCATTATTTTGAAGCTTTCTAATCTTCTGTCACCTGTAGCTACTTGTCTTACCAGTTTCACGTTCTATGAAAACTCCAGTGGTCACTTATGCAACAGTGACTGCTACATCAGGATCTTTACCCTACACCTTGCCCTTGACACAAAACCTGTGGATGGTCCACTGACGATTTGATGTACTGGATCAGTCATTGAATTCAGGCAGATCACGAGGTCAGGAGATAAAGACCATCCTGGCTAACACGGTGAAACCCCGCCTCTACTCAAAATACAAAAAAATTGGCTGGGCTTGGTGGCGGGCACCTGTAGTCTCAGCTACTCAGGAAGCTGAGGCAGGAGAATCGCTTTAAGCTGGGAGGCAGAAATTGCAGTTAGCGGGGATCACACCACTGTACTCCAGCCTGGGTGACACAGTGAGACTTCATCCCCTCCCCCCACAAAAAAAATTCAACCTCTCCTACCCCTGACATCATCCCTACCGTGTTTTCTGTTGCTAAACGAATGGCCCTGCGATCACTGCAGGTGCCAAAGGTAATCCTGGGATTGAAACTTCTCTCCACCTTCACATCCAGTCACCAAATCTTACTCCATTTCCTAAATTTCTGAAAGCTAGCTTTCCATGTGCACTCCCTTACTCTGAAACACCAATACTCACTGTTTCTAACAGGGCTCCTTGCCTTGATTCCTAACCTACTCGGGCCTGCCTTCCATTGTTACTACCATAGAGGGTTCTGTAAAATAAAGTCAGCGTGAACACCCATCTACAGTCCACACACACAAACCTTACCCTGGTCTAGTTCACAAGCTACTTCGTGTCTGGCTGGCCCCTTCCTGCTGTTTCACCCTTGTCGGCCCATGTACACCTTTGATCCCTGCCCCACTAAACTGGGTGCTGCCACAATGGTGCCATGCTTTTCCATGGCTCTGGCCTTCAGACTAGGACTTGCTTCCTTTACGTAGCTAACTGCTACCCGTCCGTGAAGAGTCAAATTCAACTCAGCTCTTTCAGAATGTCTTTTCTGCCTGGACCAGACTGTGTGCTCCTCTCCAGGTCAACCTACTGTCATTCAATTATAAATTTCCCTTTTCATGTCTTCCTACAACCTGGTGCAGAGTAAGCACTCAAAAAGTGTTCAGCTGATTAATGGATTTAACCTGGAACTTTTTCTCAAAAAAAAACTTCTAGATAGAGACGAGGGTGGTGGGCGGTGGGGCGGGGGGCGGTCTCACTACATTGGCCAGGCTATTCTTGAACTCCAGACCTCAAGTGATCTCCTGCCTGGAACTGCCGAAGCGCTGGGATTGCAGGTGTAAAACCACCGCGCAGGGCCAGAACTTTTGATGCAATTCTGATAACCACATGCTTTGTTTGAAGAAGGGAAGAGTAGGGATGATTTCAAGTGTCTGGTCTGGGCAACCAATATTAAGCTCTTTTAGCTGGGATTTTGTTCAATTCTTGCCCTGTATTTTAAAGAACTGGGGCAAGAGAGTGCGAGTAGGAGGATGAGAAATATGTTCTTTAGGCTGCTGCTCTGCAAGGTGGTTTGGGACTGGACCATAGCCTGAGGAAGCCCTTTCAGCTCCGGAGTCACAAAAGGGCGGATGCCGTTTCTATAGCGACGGGAGGGGCCGTGGCCGTGTCGCGCGCTCTGCCTCGCGCTCCCAGCCTCCCGCAGCGGTTGGCGGTCAGCGCCGGCCTCGGGCAGCTCCACTCGCCATCTACCCGCACCAGAATAAAAGGACCGCGGAGGCTCTTAATTCGCGAGCATTCCGGCAAGACTACGAGCCAGCTAGGGTCCGCTACGCTCTTCTAGGTGACAAAGCTGGGAGACGGGGTCGTGGGGAAGAACGAAAAGCGCGCGGAATGCAAGAGTAGACTGGGGAGTGTGGGTCAGAGAGAGCCCGGGGTGTGGTGCGCAGACTTGGAAAATACAGCTGCATCCTCGGAATCCAACATCAGTATACTTTTCTGTTAAGATGCCGATGCATCGCCGACTCCAGCTGAGTGCAGGACAGGGAGTGAGGGCTTCTGAGAAACTCATCACACCTACCCTGGAACTGTCCTTCCAGCCCTCACTGGGACGCCAGACTTTCTTCCTCCCTTTCTTTCTCTTATTTACTGCGTGTCCACTTGGTAGTCCTAAGTGTGCCCATGACCACAGGCCTCGCGTTGAGGCTCTGGCAGGCATTAACTGTGTTCCCACCCAGCCCATATGCCTGGGCACCTCTGCTCAACCAGAGCCCAGCGCCGGTCACAAAAGCACGCTAAGGTGTGTGGAGATCATACACCCAGAGCTGCCGCTCACAGGAGATTCCCAGTATTAGCAAATCTCTCCTTTAAAAACAGATGAACGATGCACAATTTGAGGGGTTCTGAAGGCTATTTTGTGACATTTGCTGCATTTGAAATGTTCAGCAGCTCCTCAGAGCTTAGGAAAATTGTGACCCCTCTGACATGTCTTAAGCAACTAACAGTATCACCAATATTTTGTTTGTTTGTTTTTTTGAGACAGAGTTTTGCTCTTTGCCCAGGCTGGAGTGCAATGGTGCAATCTCAGCTCACTACAATCTCCACCTCCTGGGTTCAAGCTATTCTCCTGTCTCACTCTCCTAAGTAGCTGGGATTACAGGCATGCACCACCACGCCTGGCTAATTTTTTTGTATCTTCAGTAGAGACGGGGTTTCTCCATTTTGGTCAGGCTGGTCTTGAACTCCCAACCTTAGGTGAACCACCCACCTCGACCTCCCAAAGTGCTGGAATTACAGGTGTGAGCAACCACACCGGGCCACCAATATTAATTCAAGCTTCACTGTCCAGGCTTCACTGTCTAGGCTTAAGTGGAGACTTGGCAAAAGCAGGAGGCCATTTAGGGGAAAAGTTCAAACAGCGGAAACAACAAATGGAAATACCTTTGGTCTTGCTTGAGCGATTGAATCACCTACACGTGGTTGGTACGTAAAACCTCGTAGTTCTAAGAAATTCTTCAAGCATGGGCTCTGGCTGATTGCTTCTATTTCTTACATCTATGGTTTCTCGTTTGTTTTGGTGCTTATGGAGAACGCAGAGATAAACCGGAAGGGAATCTCTAGCAGTATGCCAGCCACTCTTCCCTGACTTTGCCTTCTCCAGCTCCACATATTGTTTAGAACTCGGCTAGAATCCACACTTCTCAAGCATGTGGAGGACCCAGCACTGGGAACTAGTGGTTTTAGTTGACTCCAAGCCCATTGTGAGTGTGTCGTGAGAGCTCCCCAAAGAGCAGATGCTGGTGGGGGCTACAGTAATAGAAATGTGATGACCGCATCAGAGGATATGGTCTTGCTGCCCGACTTAGCAGTGATTGGAACATAATCCAGGCTCTGGAGACTGTAGCCACTTTGAGATCATAGAAAACTAGAAAATAAGAGCAACCACAAGGCAGGCTGTCTCTGTCAGGCCTGGATGTGCCATCATATGAAGACAGGTTTGAAAAAACTTCACAGAATGCCTGGAGATGAGGAGGTGCAGGGGAGGGAAGCAGTCGTTTTTCTATTCAGGTTTGGAACATGCAAGAACATGTAGGAAAGAGACAGATTTGTTCCTTTGTACTCTGCAGAGGACAGCAAGGATCAGTGGGGGAAATTTTGCTCAATATCATTTGTTTTTCTAAGAAATATTTATCAAGCACCAACCATATGTAAATTAACAGCTGAGTGTGAAGTGGGTTGCCTAGAAAAACAGTGCACTCTGTCACAGAAATATTCCAGCCTAGATAGAGTGATTGTCAGGGATGTCATAGGAAGGACTCTTCCCCTGGGTGGGAAAATGGATGAGATCGTCTCCAAAACCACTTCTAACTCCAGAGTCTGGGAGTCAGTGAACCTTCAAGAGTTTCAGGGATATATGCAAAGGGTCCAAGGAATTCTCTATGGCTGAAATGACTGTGACTTAAAATATAGTTAGATAGAAGAAATAAGACACAGTGTTCAATAAATCAGCAGAGTGACAATAGTAACCAATAATCTGTTGTATATTTCCAAATAACTAGTAGAGAACACTTGGAAGCCCTGGCTTGATGATATATTATATAAATGTATAAATATATACATCTATTAGGTATCAATTACAAATGAATATAACTGAATTTCATTAAATACATTATCTCCTGTTCACAGAATGCAAAGGGAATCCCTGCAAATCCTACATTGCCACACTTTCTGCCCCAAAGACAGCCCCTGGGCATAAAGATCAAGCTACTGCCAATTGTAGTAGAAATACTAAAATCATAACAGATAAATCTCAAAAGATTTGTTTCCTTCCTGGATATTGAAGTCCTTTATGCATAGATAATGTGTATGTATTAATATGAAAGCCTATGCACGGCAGTAAGGCTGGCACCTCTGTGATCTGTCTTGCCCTCGAGACTTCGAACTCTTTGAAACAAGGATTCTGTTTTATTTATCTTTGAATCCTCCATGCTTAGCACAGTAGCTGGCACACAGTGGATGCTCTGAGATTTTTTGATGAATTAATCTATTTTAGATTTCTCTTCCTTCCGCAAATTTGTACCCAGTTTTCAATAGACAAGTCACTGTCCTGACCCCAAAAGGAAATGTTAAGAAAGCAGGCTTACTATCTATGTTCCCAAAATACAATCATATGAGACAAAAATAGACATACACTTAAGATCATTAAGTTACACTAAAGCTCTTGACCAAGTGAAGAAATGAGTTAGGCAAAAGGCTGTTGAACACTCGAGGAAAGAGAGGAAGAGGAAGGGGAACACTGACCCGCACGTAAGATGAAAATGAGGATGGCCAAACTTTTGGTTTCAGTTCTCAAAGGAACATTCCCTCTAGCTCTGAGCTGAGTTTATTATCAATCTTCAATCTTTCATGCAGCAAGACACAAACGAAATATAAAAAGCATTTTAATTCTTTTCCACATAACTCACCACATATTTTGAGGATAAAAAGGGAGCATGTGCAAAGCTTTGAGCAAGGGTTAAATTGTACTGTTGGAAGCCAGATTTCGTGCACAAAAAAAAGAAAGGCACAAAATAGTTTAGTAATCACAGAATTATCCAAGGGATGGCAAAGTTGGAATAAGTCACAACAGATATTTTTTTTCAGTCTTGTCAGTATTTTTGTAGATTTAAAGAAATGTAGACCCGAAAAGGACTTTAGAAATCATCTGGTCCAGTCTCATCATTTTGCAGATGAGGAAACTGAGCACAGAGAGGATAAACGACTCATTCAAATTCATGGCACTGTGTGTTAGGGGGTTTGAGACAAGACTCCATGATTCCACAGCATTTCCTTTAGGGCTTGCTCCTTCTCTACCTCCAGAGTTGTCAGAGCTGAACAGAGGAAAGGGCTCTAGTTGTTTGGAAGATTTCACATTTACTGTGTGTTTTTTTTTTTTTAAGATGGAGTCACACTCTGTTGTCCAGGCTGGAGGGTGGTGGTGTGATCTTGGCTCACTGCAACCTCTGCCTCCCAGGTTGAGATTCTCCTGTCTCAGCCTCCCGAGTAGCTGGGATTACAGGCGCATGCCACTGCACGCGGCTAACTTCCTTTGTATTTTTAGTAGAGGTGGGGTTTTGCCATGTTGGCCAGGCTGGTCTCAAATTCCTGACCTCAGGTGATCCACTCACCTCGGCCTCCCAAAGTGCTGGGATACAGGTGTGAGCCTCTGCGCCCTTTGCACATGTTCTTTCATAGTCTCCTACATCTCTGTGAAGTAAAGGAAGAGAACACTCCACACAGAGTCTTGACAGGAAAAACTATTGTATTCATTTTTGCCCAATATTGAGATTTTACAAATCCCATGTCCAGTTGATGGCCAAAATTCTACCTGTTCTGTCTCCCAAATCTTTCCCAAGTTCATACTTCTATACTCACTGTCACTGCCTTAATTGAGGCTCTCATTACCTCTTGTCTAGACACCCCAAATGCCTTCCTAGTTCCTCCAGATTGTGCTTCATGATGTTATGAGGGAGATGGTACCAGAATACAAATCTCATCTTAGCCCAGGCTTAGCGTAGCCACGTAGGCCCTAAGACTCCAGCTTGGACCATGTGACCCTTTACAATCTAACCCACCTCCCTGGCCCTCCACCAGCAATGTCCAAGGAGAGTGCTCAGAATTTCTGGAAAAGACAATGTTCTTTCATGTCTATGTTCTTTGTGTGTCCTCCTCCATCTGCCCTTGACACCCCTGCCTGCCCCCCTCATTCTTCAGAGATGGTTCTGTCCCGCTTAAGCATGAAGGCTTCCTCAGCTCCCCCAGCTGACCGAGTCCACGCCTTGAAGCATGCTCTGTGAGCTGGTTGCACGAGCCTGCATTATTAATACATCGGTCACATGCAGCATCATGATCTACTTACTTCTATATAGCTCCTTTCCTGGATAAGGAGTTCTCTTTGAGGGCAGAGACCATGTCTGGTTCATCAGTGAAATTGTCTCAGCAAATGTTTATAGAAAGAAAGGAAAGGAAGGAAGAAGTGAAACTATGATCATAAGCAGAGAAGCTACTGGTAATTTTTGTTTGCTTTTGTGCAGGATATTTTCATATCGTATGTATGTGTGTGTGTGTTAAAATTAACATTCCCACTCACCTCCCCCAGCCCTACTTCTCAGAAGTCACTATTATAGTTCATTTCTTCCAGATTTTTCAGTATGGCCTTGTAAAGTCATGCTTGCATTTTGGTTTTTGTTAAATAAATATAGACTTATATTACACACATATTCTACTGTGTTTTGCTCAATACATTATAGGCACACTTAAAGATCTATCTTTGTAAATGACTGCATTATATTTCATAAAACATATGTGTGCCAAGTTTTTGAACTTTCCATTATGGACAGCTTCTGATTTTTCAATAGTTATGCTGCAGCAAATGCTAGCCTGACTTGTCCTCAGTCCTCTGAATACTTTCAAAGTAGTGGTGCCATCATCATTTACATAGTGTGTGCAAGAGCCTGCCAGTGGAGTGATTTGTAGAAGCTGTGATAACATTTGCATTGGTTCCCGTTCTGCTCGTTTCTTGTATTCTTGATTCCCTTAGCTCTTGGTTAAGGTTAGAGGCTGAAAAGGGACTTGTAAGGGACACAGAGCAAGCAGTTTCAGCGGTGCTCTGCTAATGTAACAGGGAGTGGGGGTGTCCTGAGAGCCCTCCAAGACTCACCTTCCACTTACAGAAATTACTGTTACACTAGATTCCATAAATGTGTGCAATGTTTTTTTGTCTTGCAGTAAGTTAATTATTCATAGAACTGTGCTCTGAACAGAAAATGCAAACATGACCAAATGACGTTTAGAGAAAGTGTTTCCACCAACTGTCCCCCTTTTTTTTCTATAGGTGTTAAACTATCCAAATAGCCCACAGATATGCCCATCTTATAGGAGACTTATGTTTGTGGCAAAAGCATGAAATTTACTCTCCAGTGAACTAGAGGAAATGGGATTTTTCCCCCTTAGTTTCTTAAACCGCGAATCATTTGATTCTCTCCTCCTTTCCTGGCTTCTGTCTTTTGCTCTGACCTCCTGACCTCAAGTGGCCATGAGAAGTGAAGCAAGGGAGAAGCAGAGACCTTGCTCCTGCTTTTAGGCCTGTTGCCTTCTTTTCTTCAAACCTGCCTGCTGTCTTTTGTCCCTGAGTGTGAGGGCCATTGCTTAGGTTTACTCCTCCTGCCAATTACTTTTTACTCCCCTTATTGCAGGACTCACATTGATGCTAAAAAGCCAAGGACATGCGATTTGACTTCATCCATGGGTTTGAAAGAAAAGTTAAAGTATGCTAAGGTAAGATCTTTGAATTTTCATTGGGAAAGTGAGATATTGCAAGGACGTAGGGACTCAGGATCCAGTGGGGGTGGTTGTACTCCAAGCACCTCTGGGGACAGTGCAAAGGGAAAGGTGTGGGGGGATCACGCTGACTGGCAGGGCCAAATCTGGGGGTGGGTGTGGAAGGAAAATCAGCAGAAGGGCAAGACCTTAATCTGACACGTATTCCAGAAGACCGTGGGTGAGGGCATCCACGGTATCTTTTATTCTGCCCTATATAAGCGGGATCCTACCAGAAGTGTCCTGGAATAGTTCAAGAACATTTCGAGAAAAGATTTGCTTTTTTTTCCTAACACAGACATGGTGTCTTTCCCTTTACTCTGGCACAAAAACTAGTGCAGTGCCACTGCACTGAAGTTAAAGTTGTGATGGGATGACTTTGTGATAACCATCTATGGGATCAACTTCTAAATCAGGGGTATTTTTAAAATCCAGCAGCACTCAGTTTGAATTTCTTAGTTTGTTCAAAAGATCACATTGTTTGGGGTCTTTGTCCTGAAAGTTTTGCAGCAAACTTCAGCCCAAAGCACTCAGGTTTGACTTCTGAATCCTGCCTGCACCACTGATTGGGAGAAGCGGAGTTCGACAGCCTAGAAGGACTAGCAAAAACCGTCCTCGTATAAATCACATACACTTCCTGAAAATTAGGACTTTAGTTTCCTCTTCTAAGCGCTCTTCCTGATTTAACCCTAGTATTGTCCCTCTGGGGATTAGAACTCATCCAAATAGACCCTAAGGCTCTAGCCCGCTACTGGTACCACTGCCACATATAACAAAACACATTTATTTTGCAATTTACAGGTGCAATTTTGAATACTTAAAACAAACTTACTTTGATAAAATAAAAAGTACTGTAAAATAGTTGAAAAAATAAGCCTCCAGCAAAACATGATAATATAATAAAGATGGCATTCTTTTCAAGTGTTAAAATATGGTGCAAACAGAACAGTCTTGGTTATGATTTATTTTAGCAAAATCATCATGAGGTTTGCAACTTGCACTTTTTTAAGCTGCTAGAGTGCACATTTATTGAATGCTGAGGTGACACATGTGCCTTAGCGGCAACTGCTATTATTATTCTCATTTTACAGAGGGGGAGATTGATATACAAGCAAGGCCAACTAGCTTATGGGTATAATGCCAGTGAGTGGAGGATGGAATTCAAACCCATCTTCTCTTTTAATTGCTATTTTTTAAATTTTTGAAAGTAGAGACAAGGGCCTTGCTGTGTTGCCCAGACTGGTCTTGAATTCCTGGGTTCAAGCAATCATCCCACTTTGATCTCCCAAACTGCTGGGATTACAGGTGTGAGCCGCCACACCCGACCAAATCCATATGCCTCTCTGTTGCATAATGACAGCTCTGTTAAATGTTTTCTGTAAAGTTCCTTGTACATTACAATTAATTTTAAAGAAAGCAAACTCTATTGCAGTTACAATGATAGAAATTGTCAAAAAATAAAGTAAGTCTGGGCATGATGATTCACACCTGTAATCTCAGCACTTTGGGAGGCTGAGGTAGTAGGATCACTTGAGCCCAGGAGGTTGAGGCTGCACTGAGCCGGGCTTGCACCACGGCATCCAGCCTGGGCAACAGAAGAAAACTCTGTCCCAAAATAAATTAAAATAAAATAAAAACGCCATATTCAAAATTGATTTGCTCATGTTGTATTTTACAATAATTACTGGCAAATTTGCAGTATCATTTAAAAATACCTTTAAACTTAAAACTACTGTCTTCGTATTGCTAGTCATTCTAATGGGTCTTAAATAAATCTTTTACTGTCTATTGGTTTACCTCAATGGACTTCTCATCCAATTGAATTTAATAGGTTTGAGTAAGGAAATGCAAACAAGTCAGTAACTGGTTTCTGCACATGAAGTCTTGGGTTTCAGTGGACAGTTACGATACTAACTGGAGAAAGAAAATGAATTGTATGAATCATAATCCCTTCATCTAAGAAAACGCTGAAGAGGGAGCTATGGATCTTACCATGTCTACTGCCCCAAGCAGGTGTTAAGAGGACAACTTAAATATTTAAATAAATGAATCATAATTTATGTTTTCACAGTATTTAAAGTTACAAATGATAAGTGTGATATTTATAATAACCAAGTATTCACATATTTTAATATGGATCTTGGTAACATTTCAGCCAAGGGAAATTTTTAAATGTGATTTCACTTGACTTTAAGACGATAGTGTAGCCCTCTCTCTAGTAATCTGGAGTTCTTTTCAGAATGCCCTATTCATTTGGCTAACACGAGGTAAAACCTTGATGCCAGTGGAGGTTCCCTATCCTTTTTGCTTAGCTGGCAAGGATCAAAGAACTCTCAGCCTCTCAGGAGGCTGGGAGCGGTGGCTCACGCCTGTAATCTCAGCACTTTGGGAGGGAGAGGCGGGTGGATCACCTGAGGTCCGGAGTTCGAGACCAACCTGACCAACATTGCGAAACCCTGTCTCTACTAAAAATACAAAATTAGCCGGACCTGGTGGCGTGCACCTATAATCCCAGCTACTCGGGAGGCTGAGGCAGGAGAATCTCTTGAACCCGGGAGGCGAGTTGTGGTAAGCCAAGATCGGACTCTCAGGAAAATGCTCCGTGTTGTATTTATCCTAACTGCCGGCAGGGGGAACAGAGGTCTTTTGGTCCTCAGTCATCCCAACCAGTAGGCTGGAGGACTTCTGGCTTTTCTGCATGTCAGCGTTGCCTCAGCTGGTTTCCGGGACTTGAGAAGCTAGCTGAGCTCCAGGATCGCAGGTTAGGCTATGCCAGGAAGAGAACCTGGGAGAGAGTCCTAGGGAGGGAAGCTGTTAATTTAGGATATTACATTACAATCTCCCTGACAACCACAAGATGCTACAAAGTACATCCAGAATCATCCTGAAGACACATTTTGCAGTTTCAGCATCAGAAGCACAGGTACTTTTTCTCGGTTAATTTCTTAGATCCTTTCACTTGCCGAAATATCACCTCCTTAGAGAGGGTTTCCTTTCCCACCCTTTCTAATTACAAATCTGTTTGCTTACTGTTTATTGTCTGTCTTGCCCTCCAGAACTGCACTGTCCAATATGGTAGCCCTTGGCACATGGCCCTTGGCATGTCTCCTACTGGGGGCGTGCTGTGAGTGTCAGATGCACACCAGATTTCAGAGACTTGGTGTGAAAACAATAAATATAAAATGACGTATTAGTAATTTTTTAGAGTTGGGTTAATATTTTGTCTTGTTTTATTGTATTTTATTTATATCATATTGTAGTTTATATTTATCATATGCCAATTAATACCTCAATAAAGTTGTAAAATAATTTTATATTGTTTATATTTTAAGATAGTATTTTGAATATGTGTTTAAATAAAACATATTATTACAATTAATTGCATCTGTTTCTTTTTACCTCTTAATGTGGCTACCAGAAAATTTAAAATTATATGCATGACTCATATAATATTTCTGTTGGACATTGCTGCTCTAGAATGGACACTGCACAATGGCAAAGCTTTATTGGACTGGTTCAGTGCCAGACCCCCAGAACCTAGGTCAGTGCCTCGCACAGAATAGCACTTGATGTGTACTTGTGGAATAAAAACTAGGAGTGTGTTTATTCATTGTTCCCCCTACAAATATCTACTGTCTACTCATTTCAGATGTAGTTCTGGGGGCTAGGGATGCAGTGGAGAACAAAACAGGCCATAAAACACTCATAAACTGTAAAATTGGGATTCTTTGTAGGAAGATCAGATGTTTTGATTAAATGCTGAGAATGGTAACAACTCACCTTTATTTTCCCTGGCAGTTAAAGAGTTGGAATTGAATAGACCAGAGATTCTTAGCCTTGGTGTGTATGGGAACACCCGGGAAGTTTTAAAGACTACTGAAATCAGAATATTTGGGGGTCATGTACATTTTTTAAAAAGCTCTTTTCTATCACGTGGGGACAGGTGTCCATTCATCATCAGCTCTAGACCTCAGTTAGGTCATTGTCTCTGACCCTTTGCTGTTTGTGAAACTGGAATAATTATTCCTGCATTCTCTGATCCGGTGATATTAAATGAGGTAAGAGAATGTGAGCTCTCCGGCTGGCAAATGTTGGAAGCCCAATAAATATTGGTTGCTTTTACCTTCCTCTGTCTCTTATTTAACAGAAAGGGGCTTTCTGTAAGAGATGGGCTTATCAACGAGTGTCACACAGCGAGAAGAGGGTATCTGAGAGCCATTCATTTTTCATTTCCCTGTCTCATCAGCACTCCCTATACAAAAAGCAGGAACAAAACAAAACCCTAATCTGACCATTGGTGTTGGGCAAAGGAATGGAAATCAGATGAAACTGAAGAGAGGGCAAGCAGCAGAAATGTTAATTGCTAGTTTTGTCTAGGTTCTTAAGGGGAACACTATTATTTATGGTAATGCATTCACTTTTTTTTTTTTTTTTTTTTTGAGACAGATCGCTCTTTTTACCCAGGCTGGAGTGCAATGGCGCGATCTCGGCTCACCGCAACCTCCGCCTCCTGGTTCAGGCAATTCTCCTGCCCCAGCCTCCCAAGTAGCTGGGATTACAGGCACGCACCACCATGCCCAGCTAATTTTTTTGTATTTTAGTAGAGACAGCGTTTCACATGTTGACCAGGATGGTCTCGATCTCTTGACCTCATGATCCACCCTCCTCGGCCTCCCAAAGTGCTGGGATTACAGGCATGAGCCACGCACCTGGCTTCACTTTTTTTTAAAAATTGAGATGGAGTCTCGCTCTGTTGCCCAGGCTGGAGTGCAGTGCCACATCTAGGCTCACTGCAACCTCTGCCTCCTGGATTAAAGCGATTCTTCTGCCTCAGCCTCTGGAGTAGCTGGGACTACAGGTGTGTGCCATCACACCCAGGTAATTTTTGTATGTTTAGTAGAGATGGGTTTCACCATATTGGCTAGGCTGTTGTCAAACTCCTGATCTTGTGATCCACCCTCCTTGGCCTCCCAAAGTGTTGGGATTATGGGAGTGAGCCACCGCGCCCAGCCTGCATTCAACTTTTAAATGCAAATGGAAGACTCAGACTAGAAGAACTTGTAATGATCATTACAAGTTAACATTAAAACATCTAACATATAATCACAAGCAGCCGATCTAAAAAATCAGTGGCTCAATGAACATAGGCATACACTTGTATAATATCTACATTGGGATGAATTGGGGCCCTGAAGGAGAGTTTTACATACTCTCCCCATTCTTTCCAGGGCCCCATTCTTCCCGAGATCTACATGGGAAGTACCAGTTCTTGTTCTGCATTTTCATTGGTGCTTGATTTCTAATAAAAGGAAGGAGAACAAAGATTTGAAATTACTTTTGGTTATGTCAAAGGAATGTGAAATGAGCAGGAATTGTTGGGGGGCGCATGTTTAGTACAAGAATTAATCAGAGCAATAGATACTTCTATTGAAAGCTTCTTCAGGCTATGACAAATAGAGTAGCAGTTCGACATTGGAGGTGAGAAATAGAGATGTTCAGAATGCAATCCCTGCCTTTTCCGTGTGTGTTATAGCAGTGTAGTGCTCGCTTCTTTCAACAATGTTGAGGTGGTCATCGCCTCCATTTGACAGAGAAGGAAACTGAGATCCAGAGATTTATATAGCAAGGTACCCAAAGTCGTTCTGGGAATAAAAGCTGAAATCAGGATTCAGATTTTATTCTGTAATTCATACTTCCTTTTCAAGAAATAATTCTCATGATTAAGTGTTGAGTATATGTGAAAGAATATTAAAGAGATACATGTAAGGTATAAAGAATGATACTGCAGTACCATGGCACTTTGTGGGACCTAACACAAGATTTTACAAAAGTAGTCCCCTGTGTGTCCCTTCCCACTGCATCTTGTCCTGTTCATTGTTCCCTGAGATAACTATTCTGTTGAGTTCTTATATTATTATGTTCCACTGGGATGATCTGTTTCTAAATATTCTAAACTACGTATTGGCTAATTTTGCATGTTTGATTTTTATGTACA